TTTATGTCCAGGATGGAGATTGTGGGTTTCAGTCCCTAACTTCCCCCATGTTTTGGTGAACCCTCATCCATTGCATCCACGCCAGCTTCTGCAAAGTCAGTGGCTTTGCGGGATTGGGCGGCCACCATCAGAATCCAATAGAATCTGCCAGATCAACCACAAGCATCAAGTCTACTCCTTACCGGCTCCACAGATCACTCACTATAACCAGATGCAGCTGCTGTGGGTGGGAGGCCCGAAGCTGGTGGTCTACTGGCCATGGGGAGCATGCCTGTGAGGAGGGAGTCACAGCAGTGTGAAGGAGTGTGAAGTCCGTGTGAAGTCGGTGTCCCCACAAAACCCTAAAACCCTAATTGCATGTAGTACATAAGAGTGCCACAGCCGGTTTGCACAGTCTCAGGACCCTCGCCCGCTTACCAGCATATGCAAGCAACACTTGATGGCACTGAATGCGTGCCTAGGCATGAAGGACCACTAAGGCATGGAAATCCTTGTACATTCTTTCTTCCCTAAAATAGTGAATCCCTGTCGACTACCTATACGTGCCAACCTCGTACATATAATGTAGTACATACAAGGTTAACATAACATATATATAGATAGATGTATATATATATAACATACTAACATAAATAACAGTACTCATGGGTATGGGTAGGTTGGCAAACAGAGTGGTGGAAGTTGTGTGCAGAACCAATCCCAATGGCATTGTGATGTGTTAATGTTAACTTACATCTGGACATTTTCTGCCCGGTTAGCTCAGTCGGTAGAGCGCAAGGCTCTTAACCTTGTGGTCGTGGGTTCGAGCCCCACATTGGGCGAGAATGTCCCGTATGTGTGTAAAAGGGACATCAGTAGACCAGTGCCCTGCACCTAATGTAACTATTATGCAGGCTTAGACATTCATTCATTCCTGACCCCCTTCTCATAATATGTCCTCGTCATGGTGCTGAATTTCTGACTTGTATTCCTGCTGGATGGGATGGGATATGATGGGATGCCTGATTCCAGAATTGCGAATTAGCCCACAGCTACTTGCATTATAATTATCAGTCCATCCATGCTTTATCAGTATGCGAAAACCCAAACTCTATAACACCCTTTTGCCTGCTCTATCTCTTGTTTTTATGGCACCGGAGAGTTTGCCAGCTTTTTCCTATAGCTAGGCCAACACGATTAGCAAAAGCCTCAGGTGGGGACCCTGGATCCAGCTAGCATGACTGCACCTACCCATCCATCCTAACACCCTATAGCTAAACACCCTAAACACCCTAACACCCTAAAAACACGAGAAGAACAAGTGTAGGTAGGAGTACACATCAACCAAGCCGGAATCCGATCTGCCTGGATCGAACAGGCGACCTAAGGATATCAGCTTCGCATCTTTCGATTACAGTCCTTCGCTCTTCCAGCTGAGCTAAGATCGGGAGCATGGTGCTCAACGCGTATCGAGACCAGGTTTCGATCCTGGGACCTCGGGGTTATGAGCCCCGCACGCTTCCGCTGCGCCATCTCGATTCTCATGTGCACACCTACCTTCAACTCTCGCCAGAACTCGTGGATCGTAGATGCCCGACAAGCAGCTCCAAACAAACCGAGTAGAGCCTTTGCCCTAAGGATGAACCTATGGCATCATGTAACAATAATAATGGCCATGAATATCGCCCAACATGCAATAAGGGATGAAAGTGTCGAGGACAGCTAATTATCTTCAGAATTGTGTTATGTTATATATGTGTATGCAGCCCCTATCTAGAGATGTGTAGAGTTTTTGAATCCCTATATGTATTGCCTGTCTGTTCTGAAACCGACTTTGAGCATGTGATTTTGGCGTTGTCTACCATCCCTTCTTTCCTGGAGCCCACTTCAGATATGCTCTGGCACATGTCTTGTACTGTACAAGTTGTACTCTGTTTTGGCTTGGATTCAATGACAGCAAGGTTCATCCCATGGATTTGAAGTGTCATAATAATGTGCTGAGTGGGAATTGAGCCTGCGACATCACAACCACCAATCCTCTATCACAATGATAAACTTTTACAACTCCCCCCCTTGGACTTCAATGTTGTCCAGAATGTAACATATACATAAAAGTGAGCACAAGGATGGGGACCACCTCTGGGAGCCAAGGGGGCCCATGGATGGTCAGAAGCCATTACGGTGGTGCTCAGCATGGATCTTGAGATCCTCTAGAGGATCTCCTGCTCCCCTGGGCTCAATGCGCCTGCGTGTGATGTACCCAGTCTGTGATGTCCAAGACCTCCTCGAGAAAACAATTGCAAGCCGCTGCAATAGGTCGGCGACATACGCATACACATGGTATGTGCATGTCCAAATGTTTGTGCATGTACATGCACCTAGACACATGTGTTTATGTGTTTATGTGTGTGTGTGCGTGTGTGTGTGTCTGCTGGATACATGTATTCTAATCCAACGAGTGTATGGTGCTCCCTACAAATCTCTTAATCATGGAGCTATGGATTTGGTGCTAGCACCTTTGAATGCAAGCTAAGGTCGGTTATGATGGATGGAGAGCTGTACTTGCACTACTGCACTCACAGAGTGCACTAATAAGAAAACCTGGCATATGTAATCCTGTTTGTGGCCAGCCGTGTACACGCATGACGATGGATGACATATGTACACATATACATGCATACACACATGCTGTATTGCACTTTATTTGCAGTCCCTCACTTGTTTGCTTGTCTCCCTGCTGTGTGCGTGTGCCTTTGCATCTATTTGCACAGGACAGAGCACTTTAAAGTTCACTACACCATAGCATTCATTCCTTCCTGCCTGGGTGTTATTGGCATGCAACAATGCACCTAATACCCAGGACATACACTTGGACCTGCAACCAGCACACACGCGCTTCGGGCATGTGGGACAACAAATTCGAAGTAGGTATGGAGGATCGCGCACATGCATGGGGGCGTGCATGCACTAATGAAGGCAGTGAGATGCCTGTGGTTCACCGTAGAATGCTTCAAAACATGCAAGTCACTGCTGCACCAGCCGAGAATCGAACTCGGGTCTGGTCCGTGGCAAGGACCTATGCTACCACTATACCACTGGTGCTCTGTAAGACACGGGAACTGCTCGAGTGAACACCACTGCACACAATTATATCAAGAGTTACACACATGCAGACATACAATGTGCACAGAATCACGTGTTCTATATACCTAGGTATATGGGTATGCCTCTCTGGTGCCCGTAATAGGTTTGTCTGAGGGAGCACCAGTGGTGTCGTGGTTGCATATATGGGTCCTTTGCCGCAGACTAGACTCGAGTTTATCCTCGACTGGTGCACAAAAACATGCATGTTTTGTAGCATTGTACGGTGGGCCGCTGGCTTCTCAGCATTGCCTTGATTATTGGATGTGCTCTATCCACCTAGTTTGTTGTTCCATATGCCTGAAGCACATGTGTGTTGGTAGCAGGTCCAGGTGCATGTCCGAGGTAATGTGTGCTTTGCCACATGCCAATAACACCCAGGCAGGAAGGGATGAATGCTCTGGCATATTGAACTGTAAAGTGCTCTGTCCTGCGCCATAATAGACGCAAAGACATAAGTACACAGCAGGGAGATGGGTGAATGAGTGAAGATTGCCAACCTGTATTANGGCATGGTTAGCACCCATAAATATTGAGAATAAGA